TTAATACGCATGAACCACAAATAAAACACCAACAACCAATCAAATCAGCTAAAATGTACAAACTCTGAATTAGATTAGATAGATAGATAGATAGATTTTGTGTACAATTGGTCTCCTGAGTGTTGTCTAGAGAAAATCTATCGTTGGTAGTGCCCGTATTCACAATGATTTAAAATATCGTAATCCAGTAATCATGAGGCAAAGGTAATTTTAATTATAAATGGATAGTTTATTGCCATAACTAACCAAAAATGTTAAAGTGCAAAACTTCATGAGTAAATGAAATAGTGCATATTTAGTATCAACCCGGTTCGAATCAACAGGAGGAAACGTCCAAATATAGATATGATTTTCATTCTCCGTTACACAGATCACTCATTGTATCGACAGTCAAAATATCACTACGGGATTAGTCAACCAATCAAATTGCGAAATTTACAAAAAGACGAAACCACAGGATTCAAGGGGATTCAAAAAATATGTTGTAAAGCAAAGTGAGAGCTTCATGTTTGTTTAATCATTTTTAATATTCATAGAAAAGATAAGTCAAACGAGCCTTCCAAAAAAGTATTGTAAAATAATATAAAAAAAATTTTTATCAATTGTGTAACGATTTTGTGACGTATCAACGTTTCCTCCTGTTGTTCGAATCTGGTTTGAGAGACGAAGTATGTAATGTGATCTGCATTACAGGTTCAACCGAGTTTTAGCATGTTTTGCCATGTCGTTGATGTTATTTGCTAGTAACCAATCAGAACTGCTAAAATGTAAAACTCTGAATTAGATAGTATAGAAGATAGATAGATTATGGGACCACAAATAATTTTGATTTACATAGTGTTACTAATTTAGAAATTTGTGACATATAGAAATCGATTTTCTTTTCTTTTTATGTATATAGATATTCCTTTTAAAGCACTAGTATCTCTTATTTCCATTTTTATATCATGATAGACAAAATTCAAGTGAAACTTGTATTTACCCTAACGTGTATGATCGTCTATTTTTGTACAAAGTGTATAGCACGCTGTTAGCACGTATATGTGTTAGTAAGGGATAAAATTTTATTGGTATCAAAAGTTCGCGATAGCACAACAACGTGTTGGGCTTAAAGGATTCATTGATATTAGCACATCAAAGTGCTAGATAGCACGATAAAGTGCTAAGTAACACGCTAATGTGTAGGATAGAAAACTAAAATGTATATAAGCGCAACCTTTTGAAATTTAATAAAAGAGAGATTCCCTTCGACTTTACTTAAGATAAATAAAAGAAGTAAGCTAGTGTAATGCTGAAGAGACCTTTATTCAAGTAAATCAGAGCCTATCTCCCAGTAACTATTAGAGTGTAAATCGGTTTAGTTTTAGTTCTCTCCCGAATAATAGTTACAATAGTTGACAGAACCAACATGATCCTTCACTCGCAACATATAAAAAATTATTTTACAATACCAGGTCATTCCGTTAGTACATGTTATGATTATCATCCAACACAAATCATAACATGTACTAGCGGAATGATTTGGCATTGTAAAATAATTTTTTATATGCTGCGCACCGGGTGAAGGATCAGTTGTGTAGTATCAACATTTCCTCCTGTTCACAGAACCCCAATGTTGCATCTATAAATGCAAAAGAAAGAAATAAAAAAGCAGATACGTTGCTTAAAAACATAACAGATCATATCGCAAAATTATCTATTTAATCAAAGGAAATTGAAATTATGCCTTAAAATTAAAATTTTGAAAATTAAATCTTATAAATAATAGTTAATAATTCGATTCCCTACTTTATAATATATCTACGTACTCGTACTGAAAAAGACAATTTTTTTATTGATCGAAAATGCATATTATCATTTTAATTTTTTTGAGTTTATTTATTACTTCATATTTATATACTTTAAGAAAACTTCGTCAAAATTTGGTAACGAAATCTTTATTTCTTTAAATCCTGACATTAGAATTACTCATTTGCCTCTACGTTTCAGAATGAACCACCACTCGTGCCATATTCTTTTCCAATAATTGGACATACTATTGAGTATTTTACGAATACTGAAAGTTTTATCATGAAATGTCACAAACAGGTAAAGTTTCGTTATAATATCTTATTCGAGGTTATGCTGATACTTCACATTGACATATGTCTTAAATAACAATTAGTATGGTGAAATTTTCTCACTTTATGTTTTCGGACATATAATAACTATAATTGGCAAAGAACTAATTCCTGAAATTACTAAGAATCATAATGATTTTAATTTTTTTGAAGCTTTCAAAGAAGTAACTATTATCGATTTTTTTAAAGATGGTGGTTATTAATATTAAGATAATTTGTTCATTTATAAAACTTTTTTCTTATTAACAAATACCTCAAATTGAACATATTTTGCTAAAAATTTTATTACTTACTTTAATACATATATATTCATATATTTACAGATGCTGTGAATAAACTATTCTTTATTAATAATCACCTCTATTTTTTTCGCATTCATTTTTTTATTAATTTTTTTGATTTATGTTTATCATTCCTATAATCTTTCAGACATTACCAACTGATTCATTGTTAGGACGTCCAAAAATTTTCTTTGAAAATCTCATTAAAGTTGTGCAAGATAATTTTTCTAGTATAGGTCGATATACAATTTACACAAATAAAATTCAAAATGCAATAAAAAGATCTATTAATAGGTTCATTGGTGACTGTAGAGGTAATAAAAGCTCGTATGATATGAACAAAATAATTTCACTTACTTATTAATTAAATGCTTAATTATTTTTCTAATTACATATTATTTTTAGTCCCAAAATGTATAAAGTTGCCTCCAGAAGTATTTTCGCAATTCATAGCAAGAAATATCGTTATCATTATTCTTGGAGAGGCAAATATTAAACCCTATGATTTATTAAGTAAATTTACTTGTCTAGAACTTAGTAATTAATGAAATTTAATAATATTGCAGAAGTTGTCATATGATGATGAAATTGTTAACACGTTTGCAAGTCTAACAAGTGACATTACTCGAATACTTAAATTTCCACCAGTCCTAAATTTTATTCATAAGTCCCTTCAAAGACAATTTACTATGTTTGTATTAGTTCTTATATTATGAATTTATTATGCTTTTGTTTGTTATTTAAGCAAATATTTTTCAATTAATCTGGCACTTATTATGTCTTAGAATTCGCCTAAAATACTTTAACAACATTTATACAAAGCATAGAAACTTAATTTTTAATAAGCTTTCACAACTAATTAAGCAACGGGAACCCCCAGTACGCAGAATTATAATAAATAAATTTTATTATATTAAATATTTTATTAATCCTTTTATTTAATAATAGACAGACATTTTAAAGACATTTATTGAATTTTCGACCAAAGAAGGCATTATAGATCTACAAGAATTAACTGACTATATCATTGAATTTATATTTATTTCTGTACAAACAACTTCTGATGCTGTAATTTTTACTCTTTATGGTATATATTTTTAAATATACTTTTAATATTACAATTCAAAAATATAATTAATACGTATTTTGCATTTTTCAAATAAGAATACGGTGCTCGTCCTGAGTATTGGAAAGAATTACATGAAGAAAATGAAATGATATCAAATGAAATAATAGATGGATACTTGGGTTTTAATGACATTGATAAGATGGTTAAATTGGACAGTTTTGTAAAAGAATCCTTGAAATGTTGGATGCCATGGGGTAAGAGCACTTGTCTTTTTACTAAATAAGAGTTCTTATTCAACCCAATATTGATATCCATAAAATTAATTAATATACTTATTAAATTTATAGTTGGATTACAACATAAAACTATCAGTGACCATTTTACTTTCTCAAATGGATATCAAGTCCCCAAAGGTAATATATAAAATTTAAAAATACACATGTTTTTTCAACCATATGTAATCGTTCTATATTGTAATAATAGATAGAAATGTTGATCTATATATTGCAAATCTTCATGGAATTGACCAAATTGGAGGTACATTTAATGGTTTTCGGTATGTTGAAAAGGATTCTTCAGCAACAAAATTAGGGGAAGATTATTTAACATTTGGTCGAGGAAGACACGCATGTTAGTATATATCAATAACTCAAGTTTTAAAATTCTAGCTTTTCATTTATTTATATATACCATTCTTTAGGTCTTGGAAGATTTTTTGCGATTCACCAAATCAAACTTATTATGTATTACATCATAAAAAATTATAAAGTTACAACTAAAAATCAAAATATTATTAAACCTATTACTGCAGGTCATTTTCTTTTACCTCCTAGCGATGAATTAATTTTTGAAAACATTTAATTTAGTATAATTAAGCAAATACTTGCGATATTTTTTAGATGGTTAAAGACAATACAGTAATGTAATTTAATTACATTATTTATTACTCTTAAAAAAAAAAAAAAAAAAAAAAATTACATTATTTATTATTTAGTAGTGAAGTAATTATTAAATTAATTTGAAAAAATATTATTATATTTTAATAAACTTTTAAAAATAAATTATTTTACAAGCAACTAGTTAATATTAAAGAAAGCAAAAAAAAATACGATGTTAGTACGGCAGATGATCGCGAATCACACGAAAATCTTAAAATTTCTTTAATTCATTATTTTTTTAAAAATTAACACACAAAAAAAGTCACAATTCCAAAGATTTCTCGTCAAATTCCAATTATTTAGTATAACATCCATTAGTGTACTAGATCTTGCTTCGTCAAATGTAGATATGGGCATTCTGCAATATGTGCATTACATTATGCAAAAAACATAATGTCGCATAATTTAATGTAGACATTTTAAAATTTAAAAGTGCGCATAGAAATTACTATATAATTTTAATGCAACAAAAATTAATAATATATTTTATATCATATACTAGTGCGATGGGTGGCGCTTCGCACCACCCATCTTATCCAGTAATTTAAGGTTAATAGCATATTTTGAATTTAATAGTTTATAGATTTTATACTCACTGGCTTAACTGAAATGCATAATTATTAAAAATCATACAATAGTGAATGTCAGTAAATTTGAAGTTTGCTTTTGGTCCTATTAAGTGAATGTAAGATGGATTAAAATTTTGTATACATTTAAGTGTAATAATTAATAAATATGAGTAATGAATCATAACGAATCATAACTACTGTTAAAATCATGAATCTGCTTATTATTG